GAGGTGCTGGAGTTGCTGAGGGTGCTGGAGCTGCTGGTGCTGGTGGCACAGCACAGCCGCGCCTATTCTTTGCTCCGCCGGCTCCGTCGTCCCTGCCACCGCCTGGCTCCGTGCTTAGCCAGGTTCTTAGCCTCCCGTCGTCTATTGGTCTTCCGTTATAGCCTGGCTCACCTCTGCCTGCTCCTTCTCCTTACGCTGAGCAGACAGGGGGCCTTGCTGAGCGTCGTGAGCCTGCGTCGCGTCCTGTCTCACCTGTCCTTTCCGGTCGTTCCAGTCGTCGTGTTCCTCTTCCGCGTCAGCCGGCTCTCCCCAGCCCTTCCCTTGTCGTCCGTCGTCCTTCCTCTCCGCCGTCACGTGTTCACCTGCCGTCTCCGCCTGCGTCCTCTCTACCTGTCGTTGCTGACCCTGAGTCTGACCGGTTTCATGCTGAGCACCCTACTGTCACGCGTCTGCTAGCCACTGTTGTCGCCGACCCGTCGTTTGAGTCTGCTGCTGCGTCTGCCTTGGTCGCTTAGCTTGTCGACTTTGCTGCTCACTGTCGTCTAGACTACGCCGCTACTCTTGTTGCTGAGTCTGAGTCTGTCTGTCCTCCGTCCGTCGGGGGTGAGTCTGCTCTTGGCACGAACGTCCTTGAGGACAGGCAGGAGGACCTTGAGTGTCTTGGAGCCGCTGCGCCTCATCTCGTGTCCATGTTGCTTGCCCCTGAGGGAGACCCGGATGCACCAGACATCCCGACTCCACGATCGTACGCTGAGGCGATCAAGGGTCCCTACTCCTCTCAGTGGCAGACAGCCATGGACGCAGAGATGGCATCCTGGAAGTCCACAGGCACCTACGTCGACGAGGTTCCCCCTCCTGGGGCGAACATTGTCAGTGGCATGTGGATTTTCAGGCTGAAGCGGCCTCCACCTGTCTTCAAGGCTCGTTACGTTGCTCGAGGCTTCAGTCAGGGAGAGGGAGTTGACTTCTTCCAGACCTTCTCCGCCACCCCGAAGATGACTACTCTTCGGGTGCTGCTGCACGTTGCCGCTCAGCGTGACTACGAGCTTCACTCTCTTGACTTCAGCACAGCTTTCTTGCAGGGCAGCCAGCACGAGGAGATCTGGCTGCGCCGCCCTCCTGGCTTCACGGGCTCGTTCCCTCCTGGTACCCAGTGGAGCCTCCGGCGGCTGGTCTACGGTCTCCGCCAGGCGCCACGTGAGTGGCACGACACACTGAGGACTACACTTGCGGCTCTTGGGTTTGCCCCGTCGACTGCTGACCCGTCGCTGTTTCTGCGCACCGACACTTCGTTGCCGCCGTTCTACATCCTACTGTACGTTGACGACTTAGTCTTTGCCACTGCTGACACTGAGGCGCTCGCCCTGGTGAAGTCGGAGCTGCAGAAGAGACACACGTGCACAGACCTGGGTGAGCTGCGCAGCTACCTTGGCCTGCAGATCACCCGGGACAGAGCACGCCGCACCATCACACTGACTCAGTCACACATGGTGCAGCAGGTCCTTCAGCGCTTCGGCTTCACCTGGTCCTCAGCACAGGCCACTCCTCTGGCTACAGGTCACTCGCTCTCAGCTCCACCTTCGGACGAGTCCGTAAAGCCGAGTGGTCCTTACCCAGAGCTAGTGAGCTGCCTCATGTACCTGATGACCTGCACTCGTCCTGACCTTGCGTACCCTCTTGGCCTTCTGGCTCGCTACGTGGCTCCTGGTCGGCACCGAAAGGTGCACATGGATGCTGCTAAGAGGGTACTACGCTACTTGTGCAGTACATCGGGCATGGGGCTCGTGCTTGGAGGACGGGGTGACGTTGTCCTCACTGGTCACTCGGACGCCTCTTGGGTTGACGACCAGGCTACGCAGCGGTCGTCACAGGGTTACACCTTCAGCCTTGGTTCTGGTTCAGTTTCCTGGCGTTCTACACGGTCGTCTTCAGTTCTCGGCTCCAGCTGTGAGGCCGAGATCTACGCCACAACCATGGCTGCACAGGAGCTACGCTGGCTCACCTACCTGCTGACCGACTTGGGAGAGCGGCCTCGTTCTCCTCCAGTTCTGTACGTCGACAACAAGGCCACCATTGCCTTGTGTCAGGAGCACAGACTGGAGCACAGAACGAAGCACATCGCTCTGTGTTACTTCCTTGCTCGAGAGCTGCAGCAGCGTGGTCAGCTTCGTCTTGCTTACGTAGCCACTCGGGCCAACACTGCTGATATATTCACCAAGGCGCTTCCGCCTGGTGATCATCAGCGTTTCTGCACCTTGTTAGGCCTAGTGCCCACACTTCCTCACTTGCTGTAGGCTTTGTTTGTACTGTGATCTATATATATATCTCTGCATGTGAACTGGCCTTGTGGTCTTTTGCTTGTGCTCAGACTGCGTGGTGACGTTGTGATCCACCCTGAGCTGTGTTTTGTTTCTTCTCTTGACTGGTCTTGTGACCGTTGCTTGCTCTGGCTATCCCCCATTTCGCCTATGGGGGTGTGTCAAATTATATATATGCTTGTTTAGGTTATTTCGGCTGTATGGGGGTTAGCTCTAGGGGGTACACAAACTTTCGCGATACCCTAGTCTTGTACCCTAGCCTTCACCTAATCCACTCATTCTTGCCTTAGGTTCTTAACAGTTGACTCTTCCCTTGTGATTGAGACCTCAATATAGTGGATGCATATACGGTAAGAAGATGATAAACAAGGTATTACATTTGCGTTTATAAAGTCATCGCTAGCCATGTATTATGAGGGGTACATTTCCTTATTCACTGTATTATAGGCATCGCTAAAGTTGCAGTGACTACTGCAATTCTTTTATGGAAACATTGTTGCAATGGGCACTTTTATTTTACAGCTGCGACTCTAGTTTATGGTAGTCAACATTCGTGACCGTTGCTTTTTGTCAGTGTTCCAACCACTAGACCATTGGGATAAAGGGGCTTGTTAAGTAGCGGGTCAGTGCGCCCATAACCCCCCAGGCCAGCGTGCCTGTAACCCTTCCCTAGGATCAGGGCTGATTTTATCAGGGTAATTACCCTGATTTCAGGGTGATTTCAGACTTGTCACATTCTGGTCCCTGTAATTTCAGGTTTAACGTCTTCTGAACACTGATCTTGTCAGAGTAGTACTTTAGCGAACCCTGGAATTTTGTATACACTCACAGAGTAGTGTTATTAAGGACCCTGTCCATACAGAGTATGCGTCTTGTTGACCCTGAATGCAACGTTATCGAGACGAAGCTTCCAGGAATCTTCGTCCCGATAACCCACATGTGCGTAATCATGATTACGCTTGCTCCCATCTCAGAGACTCCATTCGCGCTATCCAGGTTATCGCAGTACACTACGTTTCTGTTAGAATGACTAAACATTCGATTTCTGATTTTGGTTATCTGTAAACTTAAACCGAGAAAACAAATCACGATCTGGCGGATCGCAAAGTGATTCGGCAGGAGATAAAAGAAAACCATCCGTAGTGAAACACCGTATTGCCATGTGACTGATAGTTTTTAGTAATCAGCTGTTTTTCGCTAACTTTGGAAAAACATGTGTACATTAGAATAATTGTGAAACTAAACGAGACACTAACATTGAAAAACGTCCCCCCCCCCACAACCCCCCCCCCACCAAAACCAGGTCGAGTCTCGACACCCCTCCCATGAGCAGTCCGTTCCCCCATTTCCTGCCCCCCGTCTCCCCCTTTTGTGCGGACGACCCGCGGTCACGAAATAGCCCCACCCCCACCCATCCCACTCACTTGCTCCCTCCCCCTTTGCACACCCCTCGATCTCGCCCCTGCGCCCCTAGGAGATCCTCCCTCCCAAGCCTCATGCACTCCCTCCAGCCAATCCGCCAATCCAGCTAGATTTCTTGCGTCAAACACGTCACTGCTTTTCTCGCCAAACTAGAAAGAAGTAAAAATTCAACCCTGAATTCAATCCGCCAACCCTGACAGCCCAGACTTACGATTTCGTGAACCCTGAACATCGCAAGAAGGCTCAGGCTTGGCGTTTTGCGGAAAATGTGCCTTCAGGGTAAATATTTTTTTGGGGGATTGAAAACAGGGTACCCATATTTGAATCGTCAGCCCTGCCTAGGATCAATCGGGGATCACCAGTGGACCTCTGACACCCCCCCGCATTGGGATGCCCGAAATGCATACACCGGTATTCGAACCCGAGACCTTCGCTCTGATACCATGTCAGAATCCCAACCACTAGACCATTGGGATAAAAGGGCTTGTTAAGTAGCGGGTCAGTGCGCCCATAACCCCCCAGGTCAGTGTGCCTGTAACCCTTCCCTAGGATCAATCGGGGATCACCAGTGGACCTCTGGCACTTTTCTCACCTGTTGATCTTCGCTGCACGCTCTATATGAGCTGACGCGTTACTGGTACATGAGCTGTTTCGTTATGAATCAATGCGCTAAGGTTGTTCCAACAGCTGGTGCAGCGCGTAAATTCTGGTTACGATCAGCGAAAAGTCGGTTGTTGGTTTCTTAACCCCCTTTGGTCATATGCTCTACATGAGTGTAACGCGATAAGTGGAGATTGCAAATCCATAAAAGAACCTTTTGGTTATTCCAACAAGTGGTTAATACATGGAGTACAATCTATTTTCAATATTTATATTTTTGTGACATAAACGCTGCTATTCCATCTCTGTCGCTGTTGTGTTGTCTCAAATTAATTCCTAGCTGTAACGAGACTTCCTAAAATTCATCCACGTTTCCTGTCACAAGCCCACTTCCTCCTAAGAGCTGGGACGACAAATTCTCGCACTCACTACGTTGAGGGCGATACATTAGTTTAGCCCTCGCTTTTGTGCCGTACTTTTGGCGGGTCGTCGGTTAAGTCACAAGCCGCACACGCGAAATATGTAGCGGCATTTATGTATGCCAACATTGCGGCGAAATATAAAGTTCAGAGACTGTTCTACACTTGCCTGCAGCACGTACACGTACACGTGAAATAACGCCCAACTTACATCAGCCGTGGCCCCATTGCACTCGCCTCGATGGACGGGCAGAGTGGAACGAGCGGTGAAGCGCGGGTGCGGTACGGAGTGGTGGGGAGCGGCATGATGGGCGTGGAGCACATCCACAACCTCGCCGCCATGGCGGCCCGCCCCGACCTGACGGGCGGCGAGGCGGTGCAGCTCGTGGCGCTCGCCGACCCCCACCCGCCCTCGCAGGTCGCCGGGCTCGCCGCCGCTGCCCGCGCCGGCTGGACCGACGTGCAGGTGCGCGGTGGGGGAGGGGTGGGGTAGGGGGGAGGGGGAAAGAGTGATTCGCGCGGTGGACGGCGACGAATGCGAGTGAAGGTGGTCGTGGTCGGTGCTGAGAGGAGATGGCAGTCGCGTGATGGCGCGGCGGGTGTGTACAGCGCAGCACGCAGTGAGCGCTCCTCCATCTCCTCATGCCCGCCCCTCTCACCCTCCCCTGCGCGGCCTCGCAGCTGTTTCCCGACGTGCACAGCCTGCTGGCGAGCGGCGCATGCGAGGTGGACGTGGTGGTGGTGGCGACGCCCAACATGACGCACGCCGCGCTGCTGCAAGCCATCCTGCGCCACCCGCGCCGCGTGCACGTGCTCGTGGAGAAGCCCCTCGCCACCTCCGTGCGCGGCTGCGACCTCGTGCGTTCCTTGGGAGGGAGGGGGAGAGGGGGGGAGGAGGGGGGGGAGAGGGAAAGGAGTGCTGTGGGGAGATGAACAGAGTGGATGTTGATTGCACGCTGCCATGCCCGCCCTTCCTGTCCAACCACCCGTCCCCTCCCTGCCTCTCACTACGTTGCTCCCGCACATGCCGTGCTGTCTGCCCTCCTGCTCGCCTGTCTGCCTGTCTGCGCGCCCACTGGCGTGCAGGTGTTGGCGCTGGCAGCGGCGAGGGAGCGAGCAGCAGCGGGGGTGGTGCAGGTGGGGCTGGAGTACCGCTTCATGCCGCCCGTCGCCGCGCTGCTAAAGGAAGTGCAGGGGGGCGCGGTGGGGCGAGTGCACATGGTGGCCATCAGGGAGCACCGCTTCCCCTTCCTCCACAAGGCACGCCCTCCCTGCCCACGCCCTCCCTGCCCACGCCCTCCCTGCCCACGCCCTCCCTGCCCACGCCCTCCCTGCCCACGCCCTCCCTGCCCACGCCCTCCCTGCCCACGCCCTCCCTGCCCACGCCCTCCCTGCCCACGCCCTCCCTGCCCACGCCCTCCCTGCCCACGCCCTCCCTGCCCACGCCCTCCCTGCAGTGCTGTGGGGCGCCGTGCATGGCAGGTGGGCGCGTGGAATCGGTTCAGCAGCAACAGTGGCGGCACGCTGGTGGAGAAGTGCTGCCACTTCTTCGACCTCATGAACCTCATCCTCCATGACACCCCCACATGCGTGATGGCGTCGGGCGGGCAGAGCGTCAACCACCTCTCTGAGGAGTACGATGGCAAGGTTAGGTGGGCGGCAAGGTGGGCGGCAGGTAGACATGCGCCATGCACTGGTTGCTTCCCTCATACGGCCTGCCCTGCTGCGTGTTCCATAGCTTCGCGTTGCCTCCCCACATGCTGTGCCTTGGCATGGCGTGGCGTGGTGCGGCCTGGCCTGGCATGGCATGGGATGGCATGAGATGGCATGGCATGGCATGGCATGGCATGGCCTGGCATAGCATGACATGGCATGGCATGGCATGGCATGGCATGGCATGGCATGGCATGGCATGGCATGGAATCGCATGGCATGGCAGGTGTCAGACATCTTAGACAACGCCTACGTGATCGTGGAGTACCAGGGGGGCGGCAGGGCTTGTCTGGACCTCTGCATGTTTGCCGAGGGGTCGCGCAATGAACAGGAGATATGCGTTGTGGGGGACAAGGGCAAGGTGAGATGTGCGTTGTGGGGGACAAGGGCAAGGTGAGATGTGCGTTGTGGGGGACGAGGGCAAGGTGAGATGTGCGTTGTGGGGGACAAGGGCAAGGTGAGATATGCGTTGTGGGGGACAAGGGCAAGGTGAGATGTGCGTTGTGGGGGACAAGGGCAAGGTGAGATGTGCGTTGTGGGGGACAAGGGCAAGGTGAGATGTGCGTTGTGGGGGACAAGGGCAAGGTGAGATGTGTGTTGTGGGGGACAAGGGCAAGGTGAGATGTGTGTGGGGCACGTGGCACGCAGTGTCGGTGGAGTGGTCGGAGATGCTCTCGGCTTGCCGTGTGTGAGCGCGGTCCGTCCCACAGCAGGCTGCTGCTTCTGCGTGTTTGCTCCTTTCCCACTGCCTGCCTCCGTGCTTGCTTGCATGGCGCATGCCGTGGTGCGCGGTGCGGTGGGTGCAGGTGGAGGCGCTGGTCCCTGAAGGCATCATTCGGGTGGGCAGGCGTGACGGGGGCAGGCAGGGCGTGGTGACTCGCACATGCAGCGATGAGCGCATTCAGTGAGCCCACTGGCCTTGGATGCTCCACACTCTACCCCACAGCACACCCACAACACATGCACACCACATGCAGACCACATGCACATCGCATGCACAACGCACATCACATGCTCATCACACGCACATGACACGCACATCACATGCACATCACACGCACATGACACGCACATCACATGCACATCACACGCACATCACATGCACAGTCCATGCACATCACATGCAGTCCACGCACACGCACTTCACAATCTGTTTTTCCTTGAACACCTGTCTGCACCACCACCACCACCACCACCACCACCACCACCACCACCACCACCACCACCACCACCACCACCACCACCACCACCACCACCACCACCACCACCACCAACACCAACACCAACACCACAGCGACAGACAGTCAGTTTCCGCCACATGTGCCATCACCCCTTGGTGCCCCCCTGGCGGTGGCAGGTACGAGGGGCTGCACCACGGGGCCCCCCAGTGCACCAGCAGCAGCGTAGGCCGCCACCAATAGCACCAGCAGCAACTTAGGCTACCGCCAGCATACCCCCCCTGTACTAGCTTGCCATGTCGCTGTGGCGACAGCCGCAACAACAGCAATGGTCTCAGCAGCACAGTTGGCCGTAGCTGCAGCAGTGGCGAGTTCAGCTGCAGCGCCTGCAGCAACCTCCACAGCGGGACCCTGACGGACACCAGTACGTGGGAGTTGCAACTGCTATTGAGCCTTGTGTTTCCAGTCTTTGTGCATGTGTAGTTTCCAATCCAGGCGCCTCAGAGGTTCTTATTGTGGGAGCTGCAGCCACCACTAGACTAGTACCAGCCTTTGTCGCTGGCTCGTGCGGGACCTCACCGACTGCACGACTTTCCTTCACCCTAGACTCTGGAGCGTCCAGCTGTTTCTTTCGCGACAACACCAACCTCACGCCACTGCGCACTCCAATCACTATCACCTTGGCTGACCCCTCCGTAGGATCGGTAGAAACCGAGAGCACCACCACTCTCCCGTGTCTAGCGGCTCTCTCTGGGTTTCTCACAGGTTACAACACCCCCTCGTTCTCTAGAAACCTCGTGGGTGTTAGTCACCTCCACGACCTCGGAGTTGTCACTACTTTCCCACTGCACGAGCTTGTTGCCTCCTGCACAGTCCGTGCCACTGGGGTGCCTCTAGCCACTTTCCACAGGGAGCCGGGCTCTGGTCTGTACTCACTACACACTGGGTCCCACCACACTAAGTCAGGTCAGGTCAGGTAGCTGGTGTGTCGTGCGACTGTCGGTCACTCACCCACCCATCGGTCCTCTGGCACCACCGTCTCGGTCACCCATCGTTCCCTCGTCTCAGTAGGATGGTACATCACCGTCTGGTCTCAGGTCTCCCAGAGTTGCTTGCCCCGCTTCCTCGCTGGCCTGCGCCGCCGTGCACTCCCTGCGTCGAGGGTCGGCAGAGCGCTGCCCCTCACTCCTCCTCGTTTTCCCCCACCACGGCTCCCTGCCAGACCCTGCACTTGGACGTCAGGGGCCCCTCCTCGGTCCTTGGCCCACGGCAGGAGCGCTACTTCCTGATTCTGGTGGAAGACTACTCTCATTTCACCACGGTTTTCCCCTTGCGACGGAAGGCCGACGTGCCTATTGTCCTTGAGCCGTGGCTACTAGCGAGGGGTGGCGCCCAGGGCCTGTGTGGGCTCCCCCCACACTCGGACCGTGGTGGTGAGTTTTCTTCCACTCGCCTGGAGACGTTCTGTCAGGGTCGGGGGATCATCCAGTCTTACATGATACCAGACTCGCCGTAGCAGAACGGGGTAGCCGAGCGACGCATCGGCCTGGTCATGGAGGTTGGCCGGACCACCATGTGCCATGTCGGTGCTGCCCGAGTTCTTGTGGCCTCAGGCAGTTCGCTACACCGCGCACCAGCTGAACCTGTGGCGCACGGCCACGGGTGACGCCGATCTTCCTTTGGACACGTTTTCCAGGCGTAGCAGCTAACTACCGCGTCTGGGGTTGGCTGGCTCACGTTCGCGCCCTTGGAGCGAACAAGTTGTCTGTGCGCACCCGTGCCTGCGTCTTTTCCGACTTCCCACTCGACGCCTCAGGCTGGGTGTTCTACGACCCAGTCACCCACCAGTTCTTTGCCTCTCAAGACGTCAATTTTGACGAGTCGGTCAGTTACTAGAGGAGTCGCCCCCCACCGAGGTTTTGAGGCCTTTTCCCCCCCGCTGTTCCTCACCCTTGAGCCCCCCTCAGTCGCCCCGGTAGCCCCACCCCCTTCGCGTCCTTCCCCGTCAGGTGTGTCGCACGTCACTCCGCAGTCTTCCCCTCCGCAACGTCTAGTCCCTGTCGTGTCTGAGGTGCTGGAGGTGCGGTTGCGGAGGGTGAGGGTACTGAGGCTACTGGAGCCCGTTGTGCTAGCTCAGGGGGTGCAGAGGGTGTGAGAGTGGAGACCACTTCTGAGGAAGACACGGCTGTCTCGACTCAGCGGCCTCGCCCCGCCTCACCCCCTGGCTTTCCGTCTGTTCCGCAGTTCCCTCCTAGTTCGCCTCCGCGGTTGGTCGCTGCGGAGCCTGGGGGTGTTCCTGCAGGAGGCACTGGAGTCCTTGGGGGTATTGTTGGTGGAGGTTCTGGTTCTGGGGGTGCTGGAGCTGGAGGCACGAGCACTGCGACGCCTACGCTGCGCACGGTACGTTTCCTAACATGAGTGCAGCGTTTAGACAGGTTGGAGAGGGAGGAGCGGGAGCGGTTTGAGAGGGCAGCAGCAACAGCAGCAGTAGTCTCAGTCGGAGTGTCAGGAGAGAGTAGAGGAGGAGTCACGGCAGCAGCAGCAGCAGTCTCAGTTGGAGCGTCAGGAGAGAGTAGAGGAGGAGTCATAGCAGCATCAGCAGCAGCAGCAGCAACAGCAGCACCAGCACCAGCACCAGCAGTCTCAGTCGGAGCGGCAGGAGAGAGGAGAGGAGGAGTCATGGCAGCAGCAGGAGAGAGCAGAGGAGGGGTCACAACTGTAGCAGCAGGTGCAGATGCAGCCGCAGCAGGAGAGGGTAGAGGAGGAGTCACGAGTGCAGCAGGTGGAGTTACAGTCGCACCAGGAGAGAGTCGAGCAGGAGTTCCGCCCGCAGCAGTAGATGCAGTTACAGACACAGCAGGAGAGAGTAGAGGAGTCATGACCCCAATAGGAGAGGCTAGAGGAGGAGTCACTGGAGAAGCAGCAGGGGCGGGTACCGTCGCAGTAGATGCTAGAGGAGGCGGAGAGGCGGCGACTGCGACTGCACGACCTGCCCGACCCAACACCTGCACGCTTGGTTCGTGCTCCCCTACCGTCCCCTCCTATTTCCCCCGTCCAGACCCTGTCCTCGTCCCAGTGGACTCGTCGTTCTCCCCTTAGTCGTGCTGTGTCTCCACGGCCCCGTCGGTCTTGATACCGTGCAGACAATCCGTTTTACCTTATTCTCCGCTCTCGTGTTCCATCTCCTCCAGTCCTTCCTCAGCCTCCTGAGTCGTCCCTCACTGTACTTCACGACCCGTTGTCCGACTACCTCCATACCTCCCGTCCTGTCGTCTCCCGTGTTTTGTCCGCGTTGGTCACTCACCCGACTGCACTTCTGTCGTCTGTCTCAGCTCTTGTTACCACTGTCGCTGGCTTTGCCTCTTCCCACCGCCTTGACTACGCCGCTCACTTTGTGAGTGGTCCTGCTCGTTCTCCGTCCTCTGGGGGTGCTCTTATCTTTCCCTTGGAGGTCCTGGAGGACAGGCAGTTCGAGCTTGGTTTCCTTGCGGCCGCTATTCCTCATCTCTATGCCATGTTGCTTGCCCCTGAGGGGGATCCAGACGCCCTTGACATCCCGATCCCACACACTCACGCTGAGGCGGTCTCGGGACCCTGAGCTTTGTACTAGATAGCAGTTGAGGAGGCAGAGATGGCATCTTATAGGTCCACAGGCACCTACGTCGACGCTGTCCCACCACCTGGGGCGAACATTGTCAGTGGCATGTGGCTCTACAAGGTGAAGCGGCCGCCTGGAGAATCACCAGTGTTCAAGGCGCGCTACGTGGCGAGAGCCTTCAGTCAGCGAGAGGGGGTAGACTTCTTCCAGACCTTCGCTCCCACCCTGAAGATGCCACTCTTCGGGTGTTGCTGCATATTGCAGCACAGCGCGACTACGAGTTGCACTCCTTGGACTTTTCCACCGCGTTTCTTTAGGGGAGTCTGCACGAGCAGATCTGGCTGCGTCGTCCGCCTGGCTTCACTGGAACTTTTCCTCCTGGGACCGAGTAGCAGCTACGACGACCGGTCTACGGCCTGCGCCAGGCTCCCCGCGAGTGGCACGACATGCTACGTACGACTCTTGCAGCGCTTGACTTCTTTCCGTCGTCTCCCGACCCGTCGCTGTTCGTCCGCCATGGCTCGACCCCATTCTTTATTCTGGTCTACGTTGACGACCTGGTCTTCGCCACTCCCGACCGACGCGCACTGGCCTCCGTGGAGGAACTGCAGAAGAGACACACTTGCACTGACCTTAGTAAGCTCCAATGCTACCTTGGCCTGCAGATCACAAGGGACAGGGCAGCTCGCACCATTACTTTGACATAGTCGCATATGGTCGAGCAGATCCTCATGCGGTTTTGCTTCCCGTTCTCCAAGGTACAGCCCACCCCTCTTGCTGTGAATCATGGGCTCATGGCTCCACCTTTGGACGAGCCATTTAAGTCCAGTGGTCCATATCCTTAGCTGGTGGGCTGTCTCATGTACCTAATGACCTGCACTCGCCCATACCTAGCGTACCCTCTTAGCGTCCTTGCGGGCTTTGTTGCGCCTAGGAGAGACCGACCTTCACACTTGTATGCTGCTTAGAGGGTGGCAAAGTATGTGGCGTGTACATCAGGCATGGGACTTGTTCTTGGAGGGAAGCAGCCAGTTACACTTACAGGTTTCTCGGACTCGTCATGGGCCGACGACGCAGAGTCGCTGCGGTCTACACAGGGTTCCTCCTTTAGCCTTGGGACCAAAGCTGTTTC